CAGAATTATCGACTGATCATTATAATTATCTTGAAATGTAATTATAATTACAAAAACATAGCAAACATGTTGAATTATATAATTAAATGCACCGGATAGCATAATTGTTATTTTTTTGTTGTATTGTTAATAAAACTATTTATTTGTTTGAACATTTCTGTATTTAATCACATTTGTATAGATGCGATAAACCACTGAACAATAGTTTTTTTTTTTTTTACCATGGGTTGTTTTGGTCGTTCTGCTTTGTTTACCATGGTAAAAATCACTGTAATGTGCATGACCTTGTGGTTTAATTCATTATTTTTTTGTACTATAATTATTAGAAACTAGATACTTTGAAAAATGTTTTTAGCTTACTCTACCAAACCAGCTAATTTTGCTTTAGCAAAGAACAGACTTTGAATTAATTAGACTACATTGCATGGAAAATAAATCAATTTATGGCTTTTTCCTAGACACTGCCATATTTTGGAGTGTTTTTGAACTGGCGCAGTAATTACAGCGACACATTCACAGAAAATAAGGATGCTTTTCCACGGATAACACACTGACATCTCAGCAGTTGTTGTTTTCTAGACTGTTACAGAAATGTTTTCTAAATGAGTGCTACGACTGAATAATGCACCGTCTTTTCCACTTTTTGACTGCAAATGCATTCACTCACCCTCAAGACATTCCAAACCTGTACGACTTGATTTTTTTCCACATAATAAGAAAAAAAGCATACGGGTTTGGAATGACGTGTGGGTGACTAAAAGATGACAGTTTTTTTTTTATTTTAGGCTTTGTAGTATTCCTTTAAACCTCTCAAATGCTTTAGCCCAGAACATCACGTCATCGAGGAGCTGCAGATTTGCTGGGAACCCACGTATGGAGCCGTGGCGCTCGGACTCTGCTGTCTGGCTGTTGTCGAGCTCGGACGAGTGTTGAGCAATGAGGCCCCAGCGAATAGCAGTTCTGCCCTTAACTCATCCCTTCTGGCAGGCCTGTGTGCTAATGATCTGTGTGGCCGAACTGTTAGACGATCCGCAGCCTGTCCCAGCGCGCAACGCTTGCCCAATATACAGCCACTCACTTACCGCTAACTTAAGGCTTCTCTTAATACACAGCATGTATTTTAATACACCTTTGAAACATGAGTTGGTTTATTTATTTATATGCGTGCTCTTGGCATGCTCTCTAGTGTCTGGGGAGTCTTTCTATATCGCTCTCTCTCAGAGATGCAGCAGCATCTAGTGGTCTTGCTGGAAAGAAATGTTTGCGTGAATGAAATGTATTTTTCTCACCTTTGCCTCAGTGGTCTTGCAAAAGATAGCTGCTGAATAGTAGCTTTTCTTCTAATCTGTTCTGCAAATCCAAATGCTTGGTTTGATTTTGTTCTGGGCACATGCGAATAAAAAATATATATAGTTGCATGTATTCACGAAGCATGAGCAGAACACATTTCTGAGTAAATGTATCATAAAAATGCATGAATGCAATAAAGTATTGCAAGAATTTACGCAAGCATAGTTGCAAAACTACAAACGATGCAAAAAGTCTTCAGTTGCGGTAATTTACGTTAACGTTAGGTTGCGTCTCGTCAGAACGCAAAACGGAATGTAGCGTTTGGTCGCGCTACACCGCTACTTGCTGGAAAAAGTAGTTAGCTGCTGGAAAAGCTACACTGTTTTAAAAGTAGAGTCGCTACTGTAAAGCTACTGAAAAATGTAGTTACGCCAGTAGCGTCGCTACTTGTAGCTAGCTACTCCCCAACACTGCATCTAATCCCACATGTACTGAATCTAACAAAAAAAACATCATCATCTCTCCCTTTTCTGTACATTCCGCTGTTGTGTGTTTATCTCGACACCCTCCTAAAGCATCCATGCTACGGTGTTAATATCAGCCTAACAGCTTATGAATGCTAACCAAAAGCTCGGTGTGAAAGCGCTCCAGATCTCTGCAGCCCGTGCTCACAGATTAGCACTTCAAAAAGGGCAAAGCGGTCTCCAACTCTGACACGCCGCCAATACACTTTCTTTAATGTCGTGCCTCTGGCTGTTGCTGTTGACTCGGCAGATAACCTCGGCGTCATTTAGCGCAGCTTATTTCTGCAGAACGTGACATCCGGCACCTTTTAATCCCATTATATCATTATTATTTGTCAGAAACCTAATATACTCACATGATGACACATACAGGATGTGTACAGGTTTCCTGTGCCAACAAGAATTACTGTCACTTTACTTGAGGTATTTATGGCGAATTGCGTAATGATTCTTGCAGGGCTCTGGTACTCATACATGTCTAATATCAGAAAATAACTCAAAAAAGCAAACCCACGTCAAGTATTCAACATAAGCTGCATTCAACGTAATGCAAACATACAGCAGCAATTTCCTCCCTGTAATGAAGTAAAACCATTTCCTTGGCCAGTATTTCCATCTTATTTTCCATTAAAAAATATCTTAAAAATAAGTAAAAATAAGTATTCAACATCAATTTACTTGAGAATTTAAAAAAATATAGTTCCCCCAAAAATGAAAATGTACATTTCTCAAAATCTGTTCTGATGAAAAAAAAAACATAAATGATAACGATAAAGTTTTAAAAACATAACTATAAAGTTTTAAAAACATTCTCATCGTTCTGGCATTTCTATAGAAAGCTAAAACAGTGGAGAATTGGGCTTAACCCCTAACATGAGTTACATGAGAAGGCCTTCAATATTTCCTACGATTTGTGCAGCATATACAGTATCTCATATATCATCAGATCAGTCAGAACCCTGCACTGATAAGCATCAATCTGTTTGCTTTCTGGAGTGTACTGCACTTTGTTAATAAAATCAATCTGCACACGTCTGAGGCTCTGGGCTCAGATCTGGTGATGTACCAGAAGGTGAGATTTTATCGATGTCTCGATGTAATGTCTCGGCCCGAGCTAATTTTCTCTTGCACAAAAGGCAGTAAGAGTATAATGCAGATAAATAATAGAGTACACCTTTGGTTGAGTGAAGACCGTCTGGGGCCATTTTACTTGGACCTATAAGGTACACCTTATACAAAGGGGAATATACAAGTATATTATCTACTAAACCCTCAAAGGGAATCTTTTAAAGGAATCTGTTGAACTCTGATAGACTTCTCTAGCAACACAGAATGGATCAGGTTAGTGGTGCTTTTCTGTGAAAAACTTGTGCCATGATGCTATGCATGCCAGTTTCATTGTTTTTTTTTTATTATTATTATTTTGTTTTATAGTCCATCTGGGAAAAATCAAACATCACTTATGTAATGCATAGTCTCTTCATTATGCATCTCTGAACAAGAGGTAGCACGTTTCCTTCCTGAATGATTCGGCATTTTTTATTCGATTGAATGGACGAATCAATGACTCACTCACAGAATGGATCAGGTTAGTGGTGCTTTTCTGTGAAAAACTTGTGCCATGATGCTATGCATGCCAGTTTCATTGTTTTTTTTTAATTATTATTATTTTGTTTTATAGTCCATCTGGGAAAAATCAAACATCACTTATGTAATGCATAGTCTCTTCATTATGCATCTCTGAACAAGAGGTAGCACGTTTCCTTCCTGAATGATTCTGCATTTTTTGATTCGATTGAATGGACGAATCAATGACTCACTCGTAAAGACAGCCATTTGTTTTGTCCCTGAGTAAATCCATGCTCATAAATGCTTCAGTCCCTGCTTTCTTCCTGAATAAGTCAGTGTTTTGAATGAATCGACTGAATGAATGATTCAATGACTCACTCATAATGACACCCAGTTGTTTTATCCGTGTGAATCCGTGTTTGTGAATGCTTCAGTTCATTGCTTAAGTGAATGCTTCAGTCAGACACTCACATGCTTTGTTCCTGAATGAATCAGTTTTTTGAATGAATCAACCGAATGAATGATTCAGCGAGCCACTCAAAAAGGCAGCCAGTTATTTTGTTCCTGTACAAATCTGTTTTTGTAACGAATCAGTTTAGTGAACACTCCAGTCAGTCACTCACCTGCTTTATTCTGTAATGAATCAATGTTTTAAACAAACATTGGTTGAGTGAATAGTTTGACAATAAATATGTCTTAATGATGGATTTGTTTTTTTACAAACATGCAGCTTTTGCCTTTACAAGATATTAATTGACCTGCTTTGTTCCATAATGAACTAATGTTTTAAACAAATTGGTTGAGTGAATGATTCAATGACACACTAAAAAAAGACAGGTCGTATAGTTTTGATTGTGTTTTTGAGCAAATCAGTTGAATGAATGAATCACTGACTCACACAGATATGGTCACTTGTCGCCACCAACTGGTGCAATGATGAAACTCACAGAAAGAATCACTGAAAATACTCCAAAGTGATACAAAAGTTGCAACTAACTGTTGTATAATTATATTTTGTTGGTTGTTGAAATCGTTATCCCAATTTTAGGTCATAGTAATAGTGAAGCTTGCCTTAACAAGCACTGCTAGCCATTAAATAGTAGAAATACTGTGCATGTCTACAGAGTTGAAGAAAAGCAACCATTTAATAAGGCATTTTAAGAGTGAAACCGACAACCAGTGACGCGTCTTACAATGGACTAGACATTTATAGGCAATTTTTACAGATAAATCTTGGCATAATGCCTGCAAATAAATCCAATTTATAAACCTCTCACTACGCCATGATAGGTTGAGAAGAGATTCCAGCGATCCCGTTCAGTCATTTTCAGAAAATCCGTCCTTCTGGTTGGTACAAAAAAATACCAGAACAGCTTAGTGGAGGATTAGACTTGCACCTGGTCCCCAATGAATTCTCTAATGGTGTTAAAACTGAAAAAGTGAACTGTGCGGCGAGCCAGAATGAGAGATTTCCATGCAAATTGTTGGCCTCATCTTCCTCCTTCTTAATAATAATCCCAACTCAATCCATCCCTCAGTTCAAAATGTGCCTAAATCTTCATTCTCTCAGTGTATTTTAGTGGTGTTGCATATGCTAAACTGACTCTCTGATTCCAGGTGATCGACATTAAGGAGAAGCTGAAGGAGTCGAAGAAATTCTGGTCGTCGCTGCCAGACAGCATCTGTGCAGAGGACGAAGTGACTGACCCAGATGAGGAGCAGTGCTGGAACAGTCACACAAAGGGAAGGTACGACGGTCACCTTCAGACACAGATTCCCTTGAGTCGCATTGCAGATTGTTGTGTTTCAATGACACCTTCCATGGTAATTGTTTTAGCGATAATAGGTCAGAGGAAAATACAAAACACGCTCTTGGCACAATAGAAGGTTGCTGTCTGTCAAAAAAAAAAACATATATTGTGTTAACCACCCCCCCCAAAAAAAATAAAATAATAATATACATAAATACATTTGAATTGAATTTAACTTCATTAAATTGAATTGAATATGTGCAAATTTTGTATTATCCACCAGTGGTATAAAATATTAAATTTAAATGTTAATTTAATTTAATTTGTAATAATTCTAAATCATTTCTGAAAATGTTACTCTTGTTAAAAGTTCAAGTTTGGGGTCAGAATGAAGAAATTAATAATTTTATTCAGCAAGGATGCATTAAATAATACAAACGTGACATCCAAGACATAATATAATATAATGACAATTCAGCTTTGCATCAAAGGAATAAATTACATTTTTAAATGTACTGGTAATATAATATTAGATTGTTCAATAAGATGTATTTAAATAAATTAAATGCTTTTAAATATGTAATTATTCATCATTTTAAACCATCACAGTTACCTTTCTAATTTTATTTTAGGCAGAAACTAGTTGCATAGTGTTTGGATTTATAAAGTTCAATAAATTCAAAATAAATATACTTACATTTTTACTATAATTTTTGAAAATTCAGTTTTGGGATAAATTACATTATTATTATTTTTTAAATCAAAAAGACAACAGCTATTTTAAATGTAAAAAATAATTTAGCCTTGGTAAGAGGAAGAGACTTATTTCATATATCAATCAATCAATCAACCTTACCAAACCCAAACCTTTGAATGGTTGTGTATATTAATATGTGAAGTTGAGATGTTGCATCCATAAACAGCTATGCCACTTTGTGTTTAAAAACATCCTTTTAATAAGTTCTGCTTTGTCTTGACTTGTTTGGACAAAATAAATATACTTACATTTTTACTATAATTTTTGAAAATTCAGTTTTGGGATAAATTACATTATTTTTTTTTTTAAATCAAAAAGACAACAGCTATTTTAAATGTAAAAAATAATTTAGCCTTGGTAAGAGGAAGAGACTTATTTCATATATCAATCAATCAATCAATCAATCAACCTTACCAACCCCAAACCTTTGAATGGTTGTGTATATTAATATGTGAAGTTGAGATGTTGCATCCATAAACAGCTATGCCACTTTGTGTTTAAAAACATCCTTTTAATAAGTTCTGCTTTGTCTTGACTTGTTTGGAACAAGTACACTGACAAGCTATCAATGCAACACATACATTTAGTGTGATTAATTATTTTTAACAAATGCTGCAAGACTTAGAAAAAAACTATGAGACAAAGAAATGCCCAAGGACATCAGTTTGCATGTTACATTCGAGTTTCTTAAACAGCATTTAAGACAGGTATATATGGAATAAAAAGCAATAAAAGGCTTTGGATGGATTGACAGGCCTGTGGTTTTACAGCAGTTCATCCCTTCAGTTCATCTCGGTTCTCATGTGAACACGCCATGATGTCTGTCACTCCGTCTGCCAGCCTTTGACAATAATCCAGACGGCTTGGCAGAAAACCCATCCGCTTTCCAGTCCTCCACAAGTGATAATATCAGCAGATGGTGCAATATAAGATGTTTCATTTTCTTTCCAAGCGGCCTCATCATGTAAATGACCCGTACTGTGTGAAGAGAGGTTTTTTTTAGAGCACCTAAAAGACAAATTAACACAAATGATAAGACTTGGTGGAGCTGAAAAACGTGATTTTATTTTTTTTTTAAATATATATATTTGTCAGATCTGGTCTCCACGGAGTACACCGGTCTCATTATTGGCTAATTACTGCTTAAAAACCACACGGATTGCATTTATAGGAGCACATTTTGCGATGCCGCAACCTGGGAGCATTCAACAAGTTTCATTTATTTTGATGTTTCATTTTCTTTCCAAGCGGCCTCATCATGTAAATGACCCGTACTGTGTGAAGAGAGGTTTTTTTAGAGCACCTAAAAGACAAATTAACACAAATGATAAGACTTGGTGGAGCTGAAAAACGTGATTTTATTTTTTTTTTTAAATATATATATTTGTCAGATCTGGTCTCCACGGAGTACACCAGTCTCATTATTGGCTAATTACTGCTTAAAAACCACACGGATTGCATTTATAGGAGCACATTTTGCGATGCCGCAACCTGGGAGCATTCAACAAGTTTCATTTATTTTTCTACACAAAGCACCACCTGAAATATTAATTAGGCACAAACTATTACCTCTTGCTAAAGTGCTTATTAGGGGATTAGATCTCAATAGAGTTGGTTGCATGCATAATGCTGCAACATGTGTTTATACTGACTCGCAGGGTTCAGATAAAGAGGCTGAAATTTAGCAAAGGCAAACATGGTATATGCAATTAATATCAAAAAGATCATTGTGACTATAATTTCTTGCTTTAAAATTCATCACAGTTCTCATTCATCACATTCACATTTATCACTTTATTTCATTTTAAGCAGAAACTGGTTGCTTGGATTTATAATATTCAATAAATTCAACTAAATGCATTTGACTATATTTCTCATTAAACTTTATTATGGTTACTTTTGTAATTTTTTTTTTTTTAGGCAGAAACTGGTTGCATATTGTTTGGATTTATAATGTTCATAAATAATCAATAATATTCATATGAATGTATTCAAATAAATGAATTTTGACTACAGTTTCCCATTTTAAACCACTACAGTTACCTTTTTATATAAATTTAAATAAATTATTTTTTATTATAATTTCTTATTTTAAACCATCACAGTTACCTTTTTAATTTTATTTTGCAAAGAAACTGGTTGAATAGTGTTTGGAATTATAATGTTCAATAAATCCAAATAAATGTATAGTAAATAAATAAGTTTGACTATAATTTTTCATGTTAAACTTCATCACAGTTACCTTTTTATTGTTTATTTATTTAGAAAGTGGTTGCTTGGATTTACAATATTCAATTAATTCAAATAAATGTATTTAAATTTACATTTAAATAAATGTAAATACATTTAAAGATTGAGAATCTCATTGTTAGAATGATGATCCATTAATAATCTAATTTGCAAAATGATTTATTTACTAAATTTGCATATGTATTCCATATTTATTGCCTTTTTGCAACTACTTAAAATAATATAATCTGCTAAAGTGTGTTTTATTTTTTTATTTTATTTACATTTTATTAAACCAGAAAAACACTTGAGATAAATAAATAAATAAAAAGTGTGTTTTATTTATGTTTTTATTTGATTTACATTTTATTTAATTCACGGAAAATGCTTGAGAAAATGCTTGAGATAAAAATAAAAAATAAAAAAATAAAATCTTTCTTTCTTGTCTTTTCATGGATAAGCAGCGCAATTAAGCAACATTTTTAAATAAATTACTTTTTTTTTATTATTATATCAGATTACCCCTTAATGCCCTTTTTTTTAGATAATCTGCATGTACCATAACTATCTGTTTTATAATACATGCTAACTTATTAAAAATGTTTCTGATTTCCTTAACTGAAACTTCAACACTTTTATTAGCTGCCTTGCAAGCACAACATTTCCTTCAAGAAATGCAGATCTAGTAATGTTTGCACCTTTTCAACCAAGGTGATTTTCACGCTATAGGTGAACGTGCAGCTTGCAGCCTGACATTATTCTTGTGTTGTACAGCGCAGGGCGACGCAAAAACGCTGACTTCTGATGCACGCGGTGCAAGTGAATATTGCAAATGAAGTCATTCTGCACACAATGTAGAGCTGCAGGGCATGTTAATGTGAATGTGAGAGGTGCTGATCCTGCTGAAGACGCTCTTGATGGGGTCGTGCTCGAGTCAACAACAGCAACACTTCATCATGTGACCATTACAGATGCAGCAAAATATTAAGGTTTTATTATAATTGGCCGGAGAAAATGCTTTTCGAGGCACATAAATGTTTTGGCATGAATGTGTTTGCATAAATTACCATTTTTGTTTAATTTATTACATTTTTGTACATAAATGCATTCGCATTTGCGAGTCCCTCGACTTTGCTTTTTAAGATTTGTAATCAAATATAGATTATATCGAATCACAGATTGAAAAAAGTGAATCATTTATGTGTTTGTTGAACCCCGACTGTGAAAGCCTGCGAATAAAATATTCCCACCAAATGTTTGCCTGTTGATTTCCAGATATTTCCCTGAGGTTGTAAAAGACGGTCTCACGAACCAGCTCAATAACCCAGAGGTGGAAGTGGACATCACGAGACCGGACACCTTCATCAGACAGCAGATCATGACCCTGCGAGTGATGACCAACAAGCTGCGAAACGCCTACAACGGCAAAGACGTCTACTTCCAGGACTCCAGTGAGTCGCTTCCTTTTGAAAGAAAGGCCTAAAAGTTTCAACAATATCAGTAACAACTTTCCATCATATACAGTTTTTTTCACAATCTAAGACAAAACATATATTAATACTAATATACTATCAATCTAAAAGCAAATACTAGTATAATAATATGATTGAATTTTACCTTGAAGTAACTCTAATTGGGACCAACTAATATTTATTCTAGAAATCAATTTAACAAACATTAAATAAATACAAATTTAATGATAAAAAAAATAAAGATTACAAATAATGGTATATATACAATTTAGATTGATTGCATATATAATACATATGTCATTGTCCAAAAATAAAATATATAAAATTATATATATATATATAATTTATAATTGCATTTAGCAATTGATTATATACTTGTATATGATCCATCTCATTTTTTATTCAAGAATTCATTTAAATCATGAAATAAATATTTTATCATAAAAAAACATTACATATAAACTGAAAATATATATAACATTTAGCAATCGATAATATATGAATAACTAAAACGATAATAATATAATTATAATTAAAATAATAAATAAAATATAAAATAATAACAAAAACATTTATTAATCATTCATCATTAATCTGTTTGTAAACACAAATTAAAATATAAAAAAAATGTTTGTTTGTTTGTTTTTGTCCATCGTGATAACAATCACACAAGGAAAAACACAGCCATGAGGTGCCAGCATGAATACAAACATCTACATATATGCATTTGACTTTTATCCAAAGCAACTTACATTGTATTTTGAGGCAGAAATTATAAATGCAATTAATTCAGTGTGTGAATCAAATTGGCATCGCAAGCATTATTATGTACAAAATGTAAAAATAAGACGTTATAAAATATATAACGTCCCAGTTATGTTCGATTTTGTAAGTTGGAGAATTCGCAGCCTATATAGAAGTTTATGTTTGCTTTTCAGTGCAATTCTGAGGTACACAAACAACTCAAAGGTGAAAAAGTCAGCAAGCTCATCTCTCTGAGTGCACCGCTCTGTTCTCAAGGAGACATATTAGTATTTAAGTCATGCACAATGTTATTGACACTTATTTTGGTTTCGACCTACTTTAGATCTGACTTTCTTAAAGGTATAATGCATAGGATGAAAATAGATTCAATTGCACAGATAAAATAAGCCCAAACTGGCATGCACATTTACACCCTTTTCTGATGCAAAAGCTCTCCAGCATGTGTTATTCCCTGTAAAGAGGCCAGCCCATCCCACTAACGGCCGCCCGCGGCTCCATTAATCATTCGGCGGCGTCAGAAAGCGATGTTTGCTTTTCAGTGCAATTCTGAGGTACACAAACAACTCAAAGGTGAAAAAGTCAGCAAGCTCATCTCTCTGAGTGCACCGCTCTGTTCTCAAGGAGACATATTAGTATTTAAGTCATGCACAATGTTATTGACACTTATTTTGGTTTCGACCTACTTTAGATCTGACTTTCTTAAAGGTATAATGCATAGGATGAAAATAGATTCAATTGCACAGATAAAAATAAGCCCAAACTGGCATGCACATTTACACCCTTTTCTGATGCAAAAGCTCTCCAGCATGTGTTATTCCCCGTAAAGAGGCCAGCCCATCCCACTAACGGCCGCCCGCGGCTCCATTAATCATTCGGCGGCGTCAGAAAGCCCCACACGCCGTCTAGACCCTCTGCCAGAGTCAGTGAAATGAGATCCCTCATCTGTCACAAACTCACACCAACAGGAAGCTGAATTATGATAATGGAGGGTCGGGTCCGGGAATATTCACGTCCTTCGGTGCCATTTATGTTTGCTGGGGTTTGAGTTGATCGGGAGTAACTCGAGACCTGTGTATAGGACCAACTAATAATCATTCAAGAAATCAGTAAATCATTTCAGAAATCAATAAATCAATGCAAATATACACTCTAAAAAATGCTGGGTTAAATATGGATAAACCCAAACCGCTGGGTTTGTCCATATTTTACCCAGTGCTGGGATGTACCAGAATTTTTTAAATAAATAAATATGATTTAATAATAACAAAATAATAGTAAAAGCATTCAAAATAAATCGAAAATGCAATGTAAATTTTAGCAGTTGATAATATGTGAATAATACAAAATGCAATTACTAAGCCCTTTATAAACACGCATTAAAACACATTATTTCATAAAAATATAATATTCACTTAATATAATAATGCAAAAATATATATATAATATGTGTAGATATGGAGCCTTTTAAATATTAAAAAATATAGTGAATAAAATAAAATGCAAAAATATAAAATTGAATAAAAAATAATTGAAATTACAATATAAAATGTACTAATTGATAATATATAGATTTAATATAAATAAATTAAAATGTAGTTATTACGCCCTTTATAAACACACATTAGTAGTCTTTAACACATTCAATATATTTGTAATTTAAAATATGAAATTATAATAGAAAAAAAATCTATTATAAAATATAACATAATAATAATAGAAAAAATAAAATAAAATAAGGAAAAATTTTGCAATTGATAATTAAAATGAAGTCAATAAGTTCTTTATAAACACACATTACGTATCATATGTAATTATAATTTATATGTATATAAAATATAATATACAATAAAAAATATATTATGTATTATATGTATAATAATGTATTAATAATACAAAACAAAAATAGTAAATATTTATAGATTTTTGCTTATATAATATACAATAAAAAATATATTATGTATTAATATATATAACAAAAATTGTAAATATTTATAGATTTTTGCTTTGTTTTTTTGAATATTTTATTTTTTTTATAATAATTCAAAACTTATTAGCAACTTATAGTTTATAAGGTTTGACATTTTAGAAGCTTTTCGATTTAAAAAAAGTTACAAATATAAGTCCTAGTGCATTTTTAGACACTCATTCATTTGCTTGTGGTCGATCCATTTTTCTAAATGATTCTGCAGACACTAAACTTGACTCCTTAATATTTTTAACCGTAACATTTTTGAACCCGATTTTAGGTGCCGTGTGCATGTTATTTCTGTGTGTTTCTCTACGCCAGGTGATGAGGAGAGTGGCTCGGGCAGCGGAAGCGGCTTCACCACAGAGCCGGAAGTGGTCCATACGGAGCCACCGATGCAGGAAGCAGACAAAAGCGACCCTCAGCCACCAGCAGACGTGGCGGGCCCTCAGCAGACGCCTTCGCTGCAGTTACTATCCGCTGTAACGGCCCTCACCTGGCTGCTGCTGCTGCTGCGGTGGAGATAATGGCAGTAAGCGGCACGCAGCCACACGGACGCTTCAGACAGACTCGCGCTGTTAGCCTTTCCCTAACTGGACCGGACATTTTCCAAAAAAATAGCAAGAAAAAGCCCATGAAAAAAAAGAGAGCAAGCTAGCTAGACATGAGGAGGAAACCTTTGCATCCTGCTTGTTCCAAAGAATGCTTGGTGCAATCAGAAGCCAACTGCTCTCATTTCTAAATGATGTTAAAAGAAAAGCAAACTTTTCGGATGAAAAGTGATCGCCGTGCAAATGGGATCGCTTTACTTTTTCGGGAAAGAATGGGAAAATATGAAAATCTATTTTTGTTTTCCTTTTATACTGCATAAAATGAGACGACAAAATACGCTTTTTTTTTTTAGTGTTTCGCCCCTCCCGAGTTCATTGTGCGATAAAAAGCAGACGTTATAAAGAAAAAAGTAAGAATAAAAATCTATATAAATCAACTTGTTATGTACCACTGTGAGAATGCATGGGGAGGTCATGAGTAAATGTTTTTAACTGTGATTTTCACACAATTTTAATGCTTTTACTCTTTTTTTTTTTTTTTCTTTCTTTCGTTGAAGTGTTTTTGTTGTTATTTTGCTAGGCTGATGGCGATTTAAGGTCATTTTAGAGGACTTCAGATGGTGAGCGTGAAGGTCGAGTTTTACCGAGGGCTGCTCCTGCTTAATTCAAAATTAATGATCCATATCTTAATATATAAAGGTTTTAGTTATAAAATGTTTTCTTACAGAGAAAGATTTATTTATATTTCTAATATAATTATATATGTTGGCTTTACCAGATAGCAACTTTTATTCAAAAGTGCTTATCTAACAAAATGGCAAAATAGAAAGATGTTTTTTTTTGCTGTTTTCAGTGCAAACCCGTTCATTTGTTTAACAAATATTTTATTTTTGTTTGTTCCTGATACAGGCAATTTTAAAAGAAATTTCTTACTGAATAACTCAGTTTCCTTTGCCCCGTATGTAATTCTGATTTGGGATAGTGTTTCTATCGATAAGCCAGTGTTAAGCCCGTCTGATTCATGTTCCTTACGCTCATTTATATACTCATCATTGTAATCGATTATGTATGCACAACCCTCATTTACTTATCAACAGCTTTTTCATTTTGCAGTATATGTAGCTCACCATATCATCGTTTCATGTATAAACATTTACATTTACAAAATCATTTTGTTGTGAAACAACAGGCTTCATTTATGAAACTAAAGCAGATTAAATTTGTGTGTAAACTATTAAATATTAAATATATAAAACATTTATTTTATTCAATATTTTGCAACATGCAAAGTGTTTCTTTGAATTTGCATTTTTGACAGATTTGGAGAAATGTAGAACTGCATCACTTGCTCACCAGTGGGTCCTCTGCAGTGAATGGGTGCCGTCAGAATGAGAGTCCAAACAGCTGATAAAAACATCACAATAATACACAAGTAATCCACACCACTCCAGTCCAGCAGTTAACATCCTGAGAAGCCAAGACCTGAGAAGCCAAAATCAAGACATTTTTAACTTTAAATTGTTGCTTCCAGCAACAAGTCAATAATAATGCTTCCTCCAGTGAAAAAGTCATCTCGTCTGAATCAGGAGAGAAGCACTGTTAACAAGAGAAAACAAAGCTCGAAAAACAAAACAGCTCGAAACAAATATGTGGGTGAGAGACAACAGGAGATGGACTTTTTCCCTGGTAGGAAGCATTATTATGGATTATGGACTCGAATTGTGGCCAGAAGCAACTGTTTTAACTTAAAAATGTCTGGATGGATTTGTTTCTTACAAACACGCATCTTCTCTCTTCACAAGACATTAACTGATGGACTGGAGTGGTGTGGATTATTGTGATGTTTTTATCAGCTGTTGGACTCTCATTCTGACGGCACCCATTCACTGCATACACAAGTAATCCACACCACTCCAGTCCAGCAGTTAACATCCTGAGAAGCCAAGAGCTGAGAAGCCAAAATCAAGACGTTTTTAACTTTAAATTGTTGCTTCCAGCAACAAGTCAATAATAATGCTTCCTCCAGTGAAAAAGTCATCTCGTCTGAATCAGGAGAGAAGCACTGTTAACAAGAGAAAACAAAGCTCGAAAAACAAAACAGCTCGAAACAAATATGTGGGTGAGAGACAACAGGAGATGGACTTTTTCCCTGGTAGGAAGCATTATTATGGATTATGGACTCGAATTGTGGCCAGAAGCAACTGTTTTAACTTAAAAATGTCTGGATGGATTTGTTTCTTACAAACACGCATCTTCTCTCTTCACAAGACATTAACTGATGGACTGGAGTGGTGTGGATTATTGTGATGTTTTTATCAGCTGTTGGACTCTCATTCTGACGGCACCCATTCACTGCAGAGGATCCATCATTGGTGAGCAAATGATGCAATGCTACATTTCTCCAAATCTGATGAAGAAACAAACTCATCTACATCTTTCATTTTAAACTTTAATTTTTGGATGAACTATGCCTTAATTTTAAATTGCATTCACAAAATGTTATGAAAGACTTGCATTGTTCTGCTTATGATTCACGAACGAGGCCCAATGAGTTTGAGTCTCTACGAATGTTACAAGGGCACTTACTTGGTTTGACTTGTACCTGTAGTTATGAATGTTCCCAAGCCAGTGCAATTCAAATCCGATTTATACATCGAACAAACTGACAGGATTAGCAGTTTAATGGCTCAGACCTCCCGTTATGAATGCTGGCATGTGTTAATGTATCGTTTTATGACAGCCTCTACAAACAACTTGTGGTTTAAGGAAGGATGCCGTGCATTCATCCAGAACCGCAAAGCTGTGCTTTATGTTCAAAGCTGAAACATCATGCTCTTGTCATCATTGAAATGCAAAGATGCTAAACGATCCTCTAATGTCCTCTTCTCATAGATGCGTGAAGGTTGAATTGAAGCATCAGTGAGAACGGGTGGCGTGTGGAATATAGGCACACAAACAGCTTTGAAAATGAAATGTGAGAGAGTCCGGTGATGCTCCACTGCGTCTGGTTTTGAAGGCAGGACAGGTAGCAGAAGACAATGTGCTTTTTGCTCATGCCTGGGTACTTTTGTCTTCCCAGAAAGGCTCAGAAAGCACCTCGTGGGTTTTGGAAATGAGAAATTCAGTGAGCCAAGAGAGAGGGCGCGTTGAGGAAAGGTCGAACACATCGCTGTGTCTTAAAGTCAACATGAAATCAGATTTTGAACCCCATTCACTGTAACATCTTCCTAGCTCTTGTGCTGTGCTGAAAGGCCTTTATCTGATTTGGTGTTCCTGGTCAAAAATGACTGGCATTTTCAAAATTGCTTGTAAATCTGTCATTGTGCTATATTATCACCAAATATTGGATTCAATCTTTTTGTCAACATGCTTTTTTTTTCAATTAGCACAGGTTTTGTATTTCTTTTTGGAATTGTTTGGTTGCTGGCTTCATTGATCTAAACTTATGCACCTCAGCTTGTTAGTGAATGTTGCTAAAATTACACACAAATAATGTTTTTTTTGTTTTGTTTTTTTTTCAGTTAAAAACTGAGGTGCATTAGCTGAGTTTTTCCTTAAGCAACAATTTATTTTATTTTGATTTTATTTTTTTCATTTAATTGTTTTATAATTGTTTATATATTTTAGAAATATGCTATTTGGTATAAAGTATTTTGTTTTGAATTTTTAATATTTTTACATCTATTTTAAAATTGTCATCTAAAAGTAATATTTTTTATGTAGCGTCAGCTTTTGTCACATTTGATGGTCAAGCAGCCTTTAAAATATGTATTACAACATTTGCATCTCATCAGACATGATGATATTTAATGCATTAACTTTGACATCCCTAACACACACACATATACATATATATATGTGTGTGTGTGTGTGTGTGTGTGTGTGTGTGTGTGTATAAACACTGAAAAAAACAAACTCTAATAGTGAACACTTTTGAAAACTAAACTATTGGGAAAATTTTAAAATAGACTTTAAAATTATCTTAAAAATTCAAAACTGTAATACTTTGCCAAATTTCATATTTATAATAATTATAAAATTATGAATAAAAAAAGTAGGCGAATCATTTTTGACCAGGAACACCACAACTTCAATGCGCAGGTTAAAATATTAATAATAATAATAATAATAATAAAGAAAACAAATAAAATAAAATAATAAAATAAAATAAAAAATATCATACACCATGAGAGCTAATGCGTAAACATTAACTAGCTTTTTTCAGGAAAAAAATTAATAAAAAGCCTCTCCAGGTCAAAATGACAAGAACACAACATGAGGGCTAAATTCACTTTAAAGTCATGTTTTTTTTTTCCTCTCTCACTTAAAATGAACTTAATGGAAGCAAAATAGGTAATTCTATGTTGACTTTAAGTGTTAGATGTGAATGCCAAGGAAATGAAGATGCAAATGCAGAAGAAAAAAGAAAAAAAACAGAACAATTTCTTGAAGGTATAATTCATGAATGCTCATCAGATGATAACTTTACTTCAAGGAAGACAAAAGTGGTCGAGGGTCTCAAAACTGGTTGCTATATAGATCACGAAGGGGCACGTTAGCTCAAAAACTGACGTTTTTTCCCCTCTGTTTTCTCTTCCATTGCCCACAATCTGAAGATGAAGCATGTTATGTAAAACTTTTCCTAATAGCTTGCGTGTTTCTACTTGTGGTCTGGATGTATTTGGCTTTTCTCTTTTGTGCGGAGATGATATCGATTCAACTGTATCGCCTATTTTATTGGTCTCGGAGGATCCGAAGACTAAGCCGTCTATCCGTCAAAAGGACAAATGTTTTTTATTTTTCATGTTGTAATGTGTTTGATGGATACAAACCAGATCCAAGCACTTGGAGTGAATCTGTTTCTATAGTTTTTGCTTTCTTTTTCCACACTGCACTTTGAAATTGAGTTCCACATTTAGATCTTTATATGAGTGACGAAACAAGAAGAAAAAAAAGGAAAAACGTTTACATGTAAACAAGTACAAGCCATGTCAAATACATGTTTGAAACACTTTGAGAAGATTGTGGTCTGAAAATGAACGTTGTTCCTACTGAAGCACGCTGCTTTGAGCTACTATAGGTGAAGTTTTAATGCGACGTTTATGTCGTGCAAGCAGACATGCCTTACAGTTTGTTTTCTTTTTTTTAAGAAAAAAGTACTAAATGGATTGCATATTTGGATTTTGTTACTCTCTCTTATATACGGACAAGTAATGAAGGGGTGCAAATAAACATTTTATATATATATATATATATATATATAAAAAAAAACATTGGTTGTCATTTTATGTGTGTGCATGTAAGCTTTTATCACATGCGTTTATGAAATGAAGTCTATCATCAATTAGAGATATTCTGGTACGCTCATGCAACGTTTTTTTAAGCATGCATCATTACTCAGGCATTCATTCTGCAGATCAAAATAGATTTTAATGGAAATGCTGATGCGATCAAATTTAGTGAAGGAAAGAAAATCAATCAGGCTTTAAGGAATAATTACAAGCATAAGAGGTGTTTATGGTTTAATGGGCAGTCTTCCATCTTAAAAACTGCATGATGGGATCATAAAACATGATCAAATTAAGGTTCGGTGAATGAGTGAGTCAGCTGACCCAAATCAATCGATTCGATTGATTCATTAAACAGAACTCTCCCATTTGGTTGCAGATTAGACAACATTTTATGTTTGTGTTTGTGTGAAATCAGCG